TACGAGCAAGCATGACGAATCTATTTGGCCACAAAAATAAAGAATCCAATGTCGAGAAGAGTGACGGAACGTCGACTTGCGCCTATGGCGCGGCATAATTATATAGAATAATTAAACTACTACACAGTCCATGAATCAAGTAAAACCTATACAACGGAGTGGCGATTATACTCTCTAAAAAGATTCAGTGAACTGATTTAACCTCTTTGTATCAATATACATTCTAAACAGACGGCAGGATACACATGGGATGAGAAAAATGGGATGGCGCCCTTCAAACGTCTGTTGGTGTGTGAAGCTCGACAAACTAGTAAGCACAGCAATTCGAGATGTATTTCCACGTGAGCCACACAGTCTTTACATAAACAGATCTCAGCTGCCGTAGTTCATGCATGTGATAAATATGACAGAGGAGAGATTCGCAAGTAGACTATTGTCACAATCACGTAGCATGGCAGTTAAAGAAAAAGTCTAGACTCAGAGAGTTAAGATATGCTAAACAACTGCCACTATGAATCTAGTCGCTGGAGCTTCCCGACTGGTGGCTCACATTTCCTCACCATAGCTTCGCTACATAAAAACTTTAATTTCGAGGAAGACGTTCATGTCAACAGCGGCGGCTGAAAAGAATACTATAAAATCCTCCCTACCATAACTGCTATTCTCAGCCAGCCACAATTGGAAGAGGATTGGGTTACGAAGGGAGAGCAGCAAAAATATACAAATCCTGGGCGTGAGGGCGACGGAATGGCTCGCTAAAGCTAATAAGATATCGAGAGAAAAAACATTTAACTTTAGGTTCCATATAAAATAGGGATGAATAAACTCGAAGTTAAAAACACCCGTAACGGAAGATTTTACCGCTAAACATATGACAAAAAAACTAGTCATGAGTAGAAACAGAAAATTTTAATCCATACCTTAATTGAACAGTCGTACGAACCGGTCAGCATGTAATCACCATTCTTGGTGTCTAAACACAATTTAGATACCACGCTATGATGTGCCGGTACTGTGTAAATGCAGCGCCGCATTCGAAGGTCCCAAATTTTACAATTGTTGTCGGCAGCGCCAGTAACCATCTGGAAGCTGAAAAAACTGCAAATGCTGAAAACCTACGGGCAAAAAGATGCATCAAAAATTTAGACAACGTTCGTCTTCATAGCGTTTTCTGAAAAGGGAAAAAAGTTAAGATAACTTGTGATGTCAATCTACCCCGCACTTCTGTTAAGGGTGCAGTCAGCGACATGCTTTGTAACAATGATAATGCCACGAAACTGATTTCTATCTTGAAGCCATCAGTCAAGAGTGCATCACTTTAATCAAAATGGGAAACCAAGATCGAATTTTTGTGAGTCCCGATATTCACACTAAGAACAGCAAAATTATGGCTGTATATAACAAAAAACTGCTACGTATAAAATAAAACATTATCGCCGTTTTGGATAGAAACTGTAAAATCCGACTAAGGGTAAGGATTAGGTTTCAGTAGTTTCGTTTATAGTCGCTTGAAGCTATCGAGCCGCAAGGTCATACTTTAAATTCAGCTGATATTTCGATCGATTCCTCATGCCAAACGTCACGAGACTCCTTCAATCCACAAAGCGATTTTATTCTTTATTGCGGATGACACTGTTGCAGGGTTGAATACTATATTCCTCTTTGGTACATCCGATAGCTTATTTTTGTAACAATGCCGATGCACTCAGACCACTGGCGGTGAGTTGGACGTGACGTACTCTATGAGCCCTGAACTCTTTTCACACCGCAGTTGCCTGAAGACGCGGATTCCTACCTGGCTGGAGTACATGAAGACAACATTTACAACTATGTGGCAGAGAAATTACTGCCTTCTCCTCATACGTCCTGGTACTGGTTTGCCAAGACCGAACACTGTTAAAAAAAATTTAATATAAAGTAACGAAAGAGCATAATGGCTCCCAGAAAAAACATCACGAAAAAGTATAGCGGAACGATCACTGGAAGCTAGCCGTACGATTCGAATTAACGGAGAAGTTGCTAGAAATAATGTATCACTCACGCAATTACCCAATGCAGGAGCAAAAACGTAATTTGATATCGGTCATATCTGTGAAAGTATGACTATGCAAAATGCGCAATGACAGCATACATGCAGAGGTAGTGGAAAAGAAGAACTTTCTAATAATATTCAAAGCCTAACTAATGTGAGATTAGGCATCAAGGAATGGATGGTTTCCTACTCAACCTCCTCTCGCCAATTCAACTTATCTATGTGCTGCTGCTACTAGGAAGAAGAGCAATATTTGGATCCATTTTTAACGCAGAGCTGAAAAGTCATGCCGATAAACGCAGCCATAATCGCAAATTGTTCGCTAACTAGAACTTCATCACAGACTTGATAGGCAAGCACTTCTGTCAGTTTCTTCCAAAAGATTATATTCTTTTCTTCTCATCTTGGTTGTTATTTACGTTGCTGGAGAACTGCATAAATCTACCCTAAAGGTAAAGTCTGTTTCTCCGCCGTCTCTGCCCCATCTTCGGACGCCCGGAATTGATACCAGAGTAGCTAACTGCTACCACAATCAAAACGGCGATATCATTTTACCTTCTCGGGTTTGGAAACCCATGTGACGATTCAAACGGCATCTTATTTGCCATTGCTTAGAACCTCATTTGAATGCCACTGCCTGCCTCAGGATATTTTCTCGGTGTCCTTTCGCACACTATGAATGCTGAAAGACAGACTGACACCCAGATGGCGGTGTATCTGTCTGCATATGGACTATGATATGATTCCAAATGAGCAGCAACAACAGGATGACAAGAAAAATAACTTCGAATAGCCCTGAGAAGTGTTTGAGAAGCAACCAGAAAAGTCTATGCGCCTATCTATTGTGACATATCTTATGTTCTATTAACAAACCGCCCTAACTTTTGATGTAAAGAAACCAACGTACAAACAAAATACTAGAATCTTTTACCTTTCTTCATCCCAAAACGAGGAAGGTGAGTGACACGATGGAGATTCTTACTCGTTACTTTTTGACGGCGAGTTCAGCAGTTTATTTACAAAGCTAACTCAATTACAACTCTATAACATGGTCGACTTCTGGCGATTGCAGACCGCAAAAAGAATTCAAAATCAGGCATTAAAAACAGCACTAATGAAATCCTCGTATCTTCATTTGTTTTTCCCGTTTTTACTGAAAGCCTCTGATTCTTACTTTAACAGCTCTGAAACAGTTTCAATGAAAATCATAGAAGTTTATAAAACAGTGAAAACGAAAACAGGTCAAAAACAGAACAGAAGGATCAAAAATACAAAATCACCAGTAAACTGAATGCCTTGAAAATCAGTGCTTACCCATTCGGTAGGAACTCGACCGTAAGTATGTCCCTTTGATGACCTTCCAGGAACATTATACAACGACCTGTTCGAAGGTCCCATACTCTGCCATAAGTATCAAGACCACTAAAAGTTTATTAGAAATTTATGGAGAAACTTGCAACAAGAAACCTTACCCAGTCAAAGCGACAGACCCGTCGCACTGGAACGCGATGTCGAACACCGCCTTACTGTGACCTTCCTGAAACAATACCTCTTCGTTCTGCTCAAGATCGAACAGTCTCCATGACTTGTCAAAACTAAACATAACGCCAGCGTTAGAACAACAACAACGAGCTATCGGGCGAAACTAACCAGCAGGTAGCCAAGAACCGTCCTGAAGGATGAAAAGCCAAACGAGACACTCGATAGGGCGCATGACCTTCAATATCTGCGATAGGAAGTTCGCTAAAATCGAATGATCAGCAAAAATGATATAAGAATGCGACACCTCTAACATTAATTCTTTCACATACGTATTGAATCATGAAAACTAGTTATTCGGCTACTACGGCTGTAATTACGATAAAATCGAGCGAATATTCCGTATCCAGCTAGAAACGGAAGTGGAGTTTTTAATGCAGGAACTCAGTTCAAATTTCGAAAAGTCATTTAATCACAGCGCATATCGAATTTATTATATAAATATTCTCCGTTTCAGATCACACTCACCATACAGTACTGTAACATTTTGTTTTATAATTTCTATCGTAAGATGGACCAAGCATGATACGAAACATTGGAGAATACGTATATAAAATCGATATGCGGTGTCATTCCGTCAAGAACTTAACGAATTTTGTTAAGCCAAGCAGAAACTCTGGAACCCGATCAATCAATTCATTATTTACACAGCGGTCAACAAAAACTTTGCTTTTATCCTGTCAGACGATCATGTTTATCCTGTAGTACAAAGAGCAAAAGTTCCTGAAACATCGTTCGTGATGAGTGCGAGGTGAATCTAGCGGAAAAAATGGTAAAAGTTGCATCTGCCACTGCAGGTGCTAAAATACCACGAAGCCGGGCATTCTTAAATGGTCCCCTAGGCAACTAGAAGCAACGTGGAGGTGCAATAAGCCGTGAAATCTGGTCTCGAAGGCGTCTTTAGTTATGTCAGAATAAGAGAACAGTGCCATAGGTAAATGTGCTTCCCCTTTCACGAACTCAATCCAGCGCCACATTCCTTTTGTTTCGTTTGTTGTTCATGGGACATCTATTTAAATCAAATGGTTTGCCATGGCTGCAACCTCGCGCGTACTCGTGGGGGTAGTGCAACAATACGGACACAGGACTGTTCAGTAACATGAACCATATTTATAAAGAAAAACTAAACCTGATCTTATGAGTTTACTAGCACACTGCAAGTTTTTGATACCGCCGCTATGACATAAAGTTCTTTTAAGTTTTTTATATTGGACTGAAGCGAAGTAAGCATTGTGCATTTTCTCTAACCGCTATAGTATTTGTGATTATCTGCACTGACCCTAAAACGGTCGACTAACAAAGCATTGGCAAAAAAATCTATGGTTAATAGATCTCTATTGCCATTTAAATTAATCTGCCTACATGAAGACACGATGCTTAAACCCAAACAGGGTCCAAGTCGTGCTTATTCCAAAAGATAGCATGAATATCCTCCTGTTTTCAGCCTTCTGAACATAGAGTACAGTTTATTAATAAAAATCGATTCTATCATTCTTGATATGTGGGTCAATCACGTCGGTTG